TTGAAAGATAGTTGCTGGAGAGTGTGCTATTGTTTTTGAAAAGAAGTTAGATGATTTTTTTGATGAGTTTGAAATATCGAACAAGGCATTGCTTCTAAAAAGTTTGATATTTATTTACAGATGCTGACGAGTGAACCATTGTTTCAAAAGAACGTTTGCTATTGTCTCTTGAAATATCATTGCAATGAAAATAGTTGCTGAAGGGCTTGAAGAGAAAATTGTTTCTGAAGAGTTTCAAAGATAGTTGCTGAAGAGTTTGAGATAATGTTGAAGATAAAATTGTTTCTGGAAAGTTTGAAAGATTTTAAACTTAATAAAAATTTATAAAACTCAATACAACTCTGTAAAACCCGGTAAAACTCACTCTGTAAAATTTTATTAAAATAACAAACTCGATAGATCCTATAAAACTCTGTACAACTCTATGAAACTCTTTTTTCCCCAACTCTCAAAACCTATATATAACTGTGTAAAAATTAAACTCTGACATATTCTATAAATCCTCAATAAAACTTTATATAAAACTAGCCAGAAGTATGGCTAGGAAAAGAACAATATTGTGTTACGTTAAAGACAACATGGTATGAAAATAATTTTTAAATGCTATGTTTATGAATTATTTATAACAATAAGTTTAAATAATTGAATGAATAAATAAAAAAAAAATTACACGTCACATTAAGCGTAGTAAGATAAAATAGATAGCACCATGTGCTCAATGAACACTCGTCATAATCTTCTGACGATCATTCTCCAAGTCATCAGACCATTAACTGCGGGACAACATACTCTGAAAGTAATTTTTAATTGCTTTATTAATAAATTATTTACAACAATTTTAATTTTATAATTTAAAATTTATAAACATTTTAAACTTATTTGGCATTACTTTTTGCATCTGCTTGTCGGCCAGCGCCCTGGCTAGTCATAAAGCTTCCCTAACTATTGAACGTTCACATATTGAGCGTTACTAAAGTATTATTCATGGATATATCCATGGTATTACAGCATTATTCCAAGTTGTATGCAAACATTCTCCTTATCCAAAACACGTATAATAGAGAAAAATGAAGAAAAAACTAAGGGTTCGGGTTGAAGTTAAGTTAGCTAGTTAACCCTAACCTTCAGCCCTAGGTTATGAAGTTTATTTACATTATAACACAATTACATTCTAAAAGAATGTATTAATTGAAATAGAAAGTGACATTCATCTTCTTGTGCAGAGCTTTTTATAAACTTACGAAGGAGAGATGAATCTGATGATGCTTAGTTTGAACGCCTTTCACTACATCTCGAGATTTTGATTTTTTCTAGGTGAAGGAGCCACAACAAAAATATTTTTTTCTGCGGCTTCGTCAATTATTATCTTCAATCCATTACCAGACTTTTTAACTGGCTTGGCTTTTTTTTACCAGCATTTTTAGATGTCGCATTAGAAGTGTCTTTTTCCGATAAATACTTTTTCAAATAATCGGATTTACTCATCTTTATATTTTAAGCAGTAAATACTAGTAACAAGAGAAGGAGTAAAACAGAAGAAAAATACTGTCACACAAACAGGGTATGCGTGTATGCATGCACGAGCAGCCGCCAAGCCACCGTAGCTTTCTACCACACCACGTCTCAGAACCTAAAAATTAATTACAGCAGAACAAAAACAAATAAAATAATTAATAATATTTAAAGATAAAATAAAAAAGATATAAATTAAATATGGTGAGATCAGGCATTTCTAATTTTCCATATATAATTATATAACATACAACAGTTATTAATTTTACTTATGTTCGCGTGCAGTTCAAAATAATTTGGGATCAAACCTGAATTCACTGTCTTACAGTTAAATATCTAGCTTAAAATATAAAATACCGAGAACCGAAAAATTTTTAAAATCAGTGTTGACACAAAGTGTTACGTAATCGTCTTCAACATAAAGTTTAATGTTTATTGTGATCTGACTAATTAAAAAACATCAAAGAAATCTATTAAAATAGAATGAGTCATTCGTTACAAAATCGTTTGAAAAAATAACTTAATGCTAACAGTAGGGGAAGGTGGGGTACGTTGAGACGAAAAAATGCAAAATGGAGAATTTTTTTTTATTTTTAAAGTTATTTTCTCAAACGATTTTGTAACGAATGACTCATTCTATTTTAATATTTTTCTTTGATGTTTTTTAATTAGTCAGATCACAATCATCGATATCGAATTCAATGGAATCATATTGAGAAATTTTTAAAATCAATGTTGACACAAAGTGGTACGTAATGGTCTTCAACATAAAGTTTAATGTTATTTTTGAATGTTATCTGCTTCATATCGATATCCTCGTCAATTATCTTCAATCCATTACCAGACTTTTTAACTGGCTTGGTAATAAAATTTACAATTTACGAAAGAATGCATTAATTGAAATAGAAAGTGACATTCACATATCTTCAGTACTCCACTTATATGCCATGTCCCTAAGTGCTTTTCATTCATTTTGCTTAAGAAAAAATCGTTTCTCAAAACCATTAGAAGTGTCTTTTTCCTATAAATACTTTTTCATATAATCGGATTTACTCATCTTTATATTTTAAGCAGTAAATACCAGTAACAAGAGAAGGAGTAAAACAGAAAAAAATACTGCCACACAAACAGGGTATGCGTCTATGCATGCACGAGCAGCCGCCAAGCCACCGTAGCTTTCTACCCCACCACGTCTCAGAACCTAAAAAATTAATTACAACAGAACAAAAACACAAATAAAATAATTAAAAATATTTAAAGATAAAATAAAAAAGATATAAATTAAATATAGTGAGATCAAGCATTTCTAATTTTCTATATATAATTATATAACATACCGCAGTTATTAATTTTACTTATGTTCGCGCGCAGTTCAAAATAATTTGGGATCACACCTTAACACTAATCGTCAAATTTGAATAAATATATATATAACTACAAATATCTATCCTCTATTTTTTTTATTTAGTTTTGTAGGCGTATGTTATTTGGTAAAATTTGATTTGATAGGAATTGAATATAACCTTTATACAGGTGAATTCACAACCTTACAGTTAAATATCTAATGTTAGCATTATGTCATTTTCTCAAACGATTTTTGTAACGATTGACTCATTTTACTTTAATAGTTTTCTTTGATGTCTTTTTATTAGTCAAATCACAATCATCGATTTTGCATTCAATGGAATCAAATTGAAAGATTTTAAAAAAAGTATCTTAATTCATTTTATGATACTATCCTGTTCATTTTTTTTATTTAGTCTTTATTATTGCAGCTCTGACATACGCAGAACCACTTACAATGTTTCAGATATATGAAGCAGCCATCTTCGCCACAAAGGCTGTTTATCCTTTTCACACGACGTACACATGTATTTATGTGCACGCGCAAGCACCGCATCATATACGCTGAGTATATGATAGCCATTGAAATGTTTGACTCAGCACGTATTTGAACCACTGAGCCATCTCGCCGGCCAACATGCGTCGTCTATCCATTCACCAACCTCGAAAGGATGGACGGCTGGGTTGACCGGGGGTCGGCTACCCGGATGAATTTGTAGAAACAGAATTCGAACCCGGGTCGTGGGAGTGGCGGAAACGCTAACCACTCGGCCACGAGACCAAAATATAGATTTCTGTTTGATAGAATTAATTTTTGTTTGACGCCGGCTAATATTTGGTAAAATTTATTTTATAGGAATCATTTGAAAATAATTTGTTACAATATTCAAAACAATTGGTTTACAGGTGTTGAAGCTGAAAATATGCACTACGTATTTTAATTTTCCCGGGAAGTCATACATTTTTACGATTTATTTGAATTAACAACAATTTAGATTTCATAGTCACAAAAAATCGTTCGTAACCGCATGAAAGTTTATGTATTGTTCAAGTATTTTTTTTACTTGTTGTTACTACACTTTATGTGATTATTTCAAGTTGTTATAAATAATTTATTAATAAAGCAATTAAAAATTATTTTCATGTTTTAGTTTATATTTGTGTTCATATTCATTTTATATGTTCACGCTCGTGTTCAAATCAGAAGATGACGATTCTGACAAAATAAGTGTATTCTTTCAGTATGATAATCATATATGTAATTAGAAACATAAACTACATTGAAATAATAGAAAAATTTAAACGCGAGTATGCTATATGAATGCTACTTCTACTACTACAAAAATTGTTGTTACTGCAATACTAAAAAATTGCTACTACTACTGCTCCTGCTACCTATATCATATCTGCTACTATTACTACTGGTGCTACTTATGATTGATTTTATTGAAATGAGTTTGAAAAATTTGTCACTCCAACGTAAAAATTTCAAAATAACAGATGCGCAAACACTACTTTATATCATTCACTGTAATTGTCACGGTTATGTTGCTACTTAATATTTGTAATTTTACATTCAATTAGATATTGTTGAACCACACATCCCTAATCTAAGCATAAAATATTTTCCAGCCTTAAGTTCAATTATTATGAATATTTTAAATTTTTATACAATGTTAATTTTTGTATATTCGACAATGGTTATTGCATTAGGTGGGTCTGTAAGAGCTATGAAAATGTTAAACCGTCTGCAAATTTGAAAAAAACTGGGATACGACCTAACCAGACATCCTTGTTGTGTGGTTCACTGCAGCAGTTTATGTTGCATACTGCAAAAATCGGAAGGTAGTAATAAAAATTAAATTGAATATGATTAGTGATAATAAAATTTTGTTTATTGTTGTATGTTGCTAGAGATAATACTTTAAAAAATTAAATTGAAATTTTTAATAATGATTAATGGTAATTAAATTTTGTTTATTAACAGTGATAATAATATTTAAAAAAATTGAAATATCTAATAACGAAATGGTAAATTTTTATAGCAAATTTTGTGATGGCTGTTTAAACATTTAAGGAATTTATTATTAAAAAGATGTCTTTGGAGCACAACCATGATGTTGGTGCATCTGTATTTGCACTATATGGCCTGGTTGAAAAATGTCAAGGCTAAGGCAAAAGATGGGTCACGGGAAAAGTCCTTTTTTTCTTTTTTCAAGACATTCCTTCAGTTGTTGAGATTGAGGTTTGTGGGTTTGTTTGATTTTTCAATTTACTTGGTAGATTGATAGCCAAAAAAGTACATTACAAATCACACTAACAAATCCAATTAGTCAGCAACAGTACATTTTATATCACAATGTCAAAAAACAATATGCAAGTAGTTAAAAATATATGACATAACAATAATTAATTAAATTAAATAATAACGATATTAAAATTTTACCAGGCTGCTGAAGCTGACGTATCAAGCAGCAGTGAACAGGAGGATGTTGCAGATCATGTGGCCATTGGCAGTCAACCAGTAATCATAGAAGATGATATTGCTGATAACTTACAGGTTACTGCGCCAGAAGAAAATGGGCAAGCTGCAAATTCAAACATTCTGTAACATCAAGCGCAAAGGACGTCCAGCAAAAAGGAAACAACAACTGTTTCAACAACGCAAACGTACATTTGAAAAACTGCGTCCGTCTGCGCAAGATCAACTCAGACTCTCATGGGTTTTATCTGAAGAAACAGCTAAAAACTGTGTTCAGACGGATTGCATAGCATCAATTAACGACGTTAAAGTAATAATTGATCCAAGATGCCCAGATGACCGTGCTAATATGTCCACCTTGAAACAATGTTTTTCCAATGAAGCTTGGACAAAATTATTAAAAAATAAGATGTGGTCAATTGGAGAAAATTTGTATGTTTGTGTTGTTTGTGGACATCACTCTGGAAGAGACAACCAAACTCGTACTTCGTGGGTGCAGTGTGATGGCTGCATAAACTGTTCATGTGTTGAAATGAAAAGGCTACCGAAAGGGTCATAGTTTTATCGACAGTGTTGATACAACAATCTGGGTCTTTTGGTAACTGTTTTGTCTTAATACATGAACAATGTACCCGTGTGCATCAGAGGTGGACATGGGTTGGGTTAACCCATGGGTTGGGTTGGGTTGGGTCCAAATTTTTTAAAGTTGTGTGGGTTGGGTTGGGTTGAAATTTTCAAATTTTATTATAAATAATTTATTTCTGTATTTTTTTTTATTCTTAAACGAACATTTTAACTAGTTAATAATCGGTGTATTTTATATCGCTGTAATATTATTGTATCTTTGGTCTATCGTTTCCACTTTCTTTTTGTGATTATTGAGTTGAGCAAAAGTTAACTTCTTTCCGATCGAGAAAATTAGTTTTATTTACAAGTATGGCAGAATCAGAAGAAATTCAGCGTCATTTGAGAGGTTTGTGTGATTTAAATTTGCTAAGTTTGCGAAAGTAAAAAATCTAATAAATTTCATATTAACATTTTTACATTTTTTATGTTTTAATTCCTTTTTTAAAGATTTAATTGTTATTTTTCATAATTTCAAATCTCTTCAGTCTTCACAGTTACACTTTACAGACATCAGAATTTTTTCTCAATTGCTCATTTTACTTATTTACCTGATATTCATGTTTTATTTTCTTTCTTTTTTCTACCTAGAAATGGTTTATTTTTCAAATTTTGGTTGGGCACTGTTGAAGTTCAGAAATCACATTCATTAGATAAATTTAATTGATTGATTGAACATACTTAAGTATTTAAATATTTATTCATTCCAGAAAAAACAGGGTGGTATATATTGAAAGCACCCACAAATTTAAAATCAGAAATCTGGCAGAAATTTCACATGGTTTTTCAAAAAAAGGAAAATGATGAAAGTGAAATTCCTGTGAATTACTATTGAGTATTGTGCTTGTATTAAGTGCAATAAGGTATATCAGTTTAAAGATTCATCGGGTAAAAACTTTGGCACTAAAAATCAGCAAGAACATATTAAACATTGTGCTGTAGTCTTGCCAAAGTCACAGTTGAAAATCCAGTAATGCTTGAAACGAAAAATTCAACTGTCTCCTCAAGAATTAACGATGTTGAAGCATAGACAGATCTTTTTCTGTGTTGATGGTTACCACTCATACAAATCTGTTGAAAATAAAGGGCTTTTCAATTTGATGCAGAGCTATGTTGAGTTAGGTGCCAAATATGGAAAGTTTGATGTTTCTGACGTTGTTGTGGGAAAATATTAGTAACATTTAATTTTTAATTAATTTTCATGTTATTTTATTACACTTGCAGTGTGATTACTTCACCAGTGTGTTTTATTACACATATGATCTTGTATTTTTGAGTTCTGCTTTTTAAATGTCATTTGTAAAAATTTGCCTGTTTGGTAAAATTGTGACTCGTGCAGATGGGTCGTGGGTTGGGTCGGATTGGGTTGGGTTGAAAAGTTGCATTTTCAGGCGGGTTGGGTTGGGATGGGTTGAGTTGAGTGATGGGTTGGGTCAGTAAAAATGGACCCATGTCCACCTCTGGTGTGCATTACTGTATAAATATGTGTGTGTTACTATATGACACCTGATGCAATAAATTTTTTATTTTAAAAATTGTCATTCTATAACAAAAATGTTGTCTTAATAAACGTCAAATTTTGCGCTTTGACTGCGTCCTGTATAGTCAAAATAGCGTCAACTATGTTGTACAGACTTCGGCCATCTCAATATCGAATTCGTCGTACGATTCTCACGCTTTTCACCATCTAAACGCCTTATAGCATTTCGACGTGCGGGTTCCTCACGATTTATAGTTTCGAACGTCGTATTCGCCCGTTTGTTATTCGCACGCCTTATAGCATCTCAAAGTCGAATTGGACGTGCGGGTTTCTCAAGATTTATGATTTCAAGCGTCTAAACGTCGTATTCGTCCGTTCGTGATTTGCACGCCTTATAGCATCCTAACGTCGAATTTGTTGTGCGATTCTCACGCTTTACACCGTTGAAACGTATTCGTCCGCTCGTGATTCGCACGCCTTATAGGCTTATAGCATCTCAACGTCGAATTCGACGTGCGAATGCCTCACGATTTATAATTTCAAGCGGTAAACTCGGAGATCAGCACTGGGTATTCCAAGCAGTGTCTATTTTTAGTGGTCAGTTTACTTTAATGCGACACTTAACCTCCTCCTACCAATGATGCTGTGTCTATTTATAGCTAAGCTGTCTATATTTAGTTACCAGATTAAACTCGGTAAAGTAAAAAATTAAATAAGTAATATTTTTATTTAATTTTTTTATATTTTTTAACCCTAACCCTAATATATAATAAAATAATATTTATAATAAAATATAATAATATAATCTATTTCTATGCTTAATCATTTTATTTACTTGCCATAGGTATGCGCAGCCTTTAATAAATTAATGATAATAATAACACATCATTCAAACTGCATAAAATATAATAAATTAAAAGTATAATTTCTACAAGCCTCATTGGTTATGGTGATTCTTTAAAACTGAATGATCGTGATCTAACAAGTCACGGATTGATGAATCACTAGAATCACACATTATCTTTAATAAATTTAATAACAACATGTACTACAATTAAAGAATGAGGAATATTTTGTAAAACATTAAATGAAAAAAAAAATTTAGTTTGAATCACTCATATCATAATAAATAAATTTTAATTAAATTGCAACGTTAGCTTGAGGAGTCATGAAAAAGTTGATGGCAAAGGAAAACAAAGTCCTACCTCAGGGAACCAGGTCTCAGGACACAAAACGAAGATTGATTGATTAGCTTGAGGAGCTTGAATTGAATAAAATTGTTTATTTATCTTTATAAAATTGATTGATAAGTTGTTTAATATATTTATTTAATTTAGATTTTAGATACAAATGTCACGGCAGAAATTGTACCAATCAATTACTTACAGACTTTGTGCTCAGCTGCAACTCGCGACATGCTATTTTTACTGGTGTGCTCCAAGCCCAATAGTAAATTAAATGAACCAGCAAGCTTTTTTCAAAAAAGGAATCTTTCCGTATGGTGGTTCTTTTTTGACAACTATGAGGGAACAGTACAGCGCCAAATTACGCCATCGCGGCCCGGTTGATACGATTTCAGTCATATCACTGCCGCAATTGTCACAAATATTTTCTTGATAGAAACCGTTCAGTCTGAGCCATTGCCTTGTCTCCCGTTCGTCCTTCATGACCAGATCCGCGACCGTCAACGCATTAACCCTGTCCACTCGATTCATGATAGAAAAAGAAATTACGCACCACAAAATAAACAAACCCAAGATAAAGCGCCAAAACAAATGACTCGGAAGTCGCGATATAGATCTTTGGAAGACGAAAATTTAAATATACTAAAAATTACATTTTTGTTCGATAAAATTATTTTGGTTACTATATTTTTAAAAACATTTTTTTAAAATTGTTATAATTTGAATTTAAATTTTACAATTTTATTATATAATCAATTTTAAATAAGCCAATCAATTTTGAAAAGTTATGTCCTAACATTAAATTTTTAAATAAAAAATTCTAATTTATTTTATATATTTATTTAATAAAAAAAGTTAAACATAAAAAAGAATTTGTTTATTTAGCGTTATTAATATAAATTCTCTCTAATTCATTTATTTAGCGTTATTAGCATAAATTCACTTTTACACCTATTTAAGTAGTATTCAATACCCTCCATTTACATCACTGTCTCGATTTTTCGTTTGCATTGATGCACTGATGTAATGTTTTGCTTTTTGGTTTTAGCTTAATTATTAGAGTTTAGTAATTTAATTACTAATTAGCCGTTGTTAGTGTTGTTACAGTTAATGAATTAAGTGTTGGTCCACAAAAATTTTTTTAAAATTTAAAATGCAAAAAGATACTTAACCATCATACAGCAATATCTATCCTATCCATGATCCTAAAACACAAAACAGCATACAAATGATTCTGAACTTAGCCACCAGCCACAATGACCGACCTATATATTATGTGCGCGGAGAGATCGTGAAAAAAGAGAGGACCATCTGCTGAATGCACAGCAGATGTTCATATATGTTACCAATAATTGTATAGCTATATACATCCTTAACTGATCATTGAAATATATGAAAAGTATGTATTCTATATATTTAAGTAACGCATGTATGAACAATGATTGTATGATGTATTGAACAACATAAAAAATTGACAGTAAGTTGAACATGAAAATCGATTAAAAATATTATTAATTGCGGCCTCAAAAAAAGATTTTTACCACTTATGTAGAATTAAATTACCTTTCTAACAATATATCAGCCACTAAAAAAAAAGCCTTCCAGGGTGTTCAAAACCCGAAAAACAAACACACTTCATTGTGCATCAAATCACAAAAATATTTTTTTTCACTTCATAATTGCGGCCTCAAAAAAAGATTTTTACCAATGATGTAGAATTAAGTTACCTTTCTAACAATATATCAGCCACTGAAAAAAACAGCCTTCCAGGGTGTTCAAAACACGAAAAACAAACACACTTCATTGTGCATCAAATCACAAAAATATTTTTTTTCACCATTCATAATTGCGGCCTCAAAAAAAGATTTCTACCACTGATGTAGAATTAAATTACCTTTCTAACAATATATCAGCCACTGAAAAAAACAGCTTTCCAGGGTGTTCAAAACACGAAAAACAAACACATTTCATTGTGCATCAAATCACAAAAATATTTTTTTTCACCATTCATAATTGCGGCCTCAAAAAAAGATTTCTACCACTGATGTAGAATTAAATTACCTTTCTAACAATATATCAGCTACTGAAAAAAACAGCCTTCCAGGGTGTTCAAAACACGAAAAACAAACACACTTCATTGTGCGTCGTATCACAGCGACTAAAACAGAAAGATATCGCTGGGCAAAATTAAATTTTACTCGCAGACATGGTGGTCGGTACTATTGGTCTGCCATCATCGCTTTTATTTCATTATAAAAATCATTATAACAC